ATATATATATATATATATATATTTCGTCATATATTGATATCAGTCGGCTCGTATCGAGTGTTCTTTATCCTACTAGCGATAACATAATATTCTCAAACCATTAATCGATAATCGTCGACAATGAAAATGAAGAGATCGCGCAATGTTCAGCGAGTACATCCGACGTCGCAATCTTCGCGTTCGATAAATATCCTTACTAGTGGCATATGCTCATGCTCTTGCCTTCATAGCAACGGTAATAATTAATATTTACCGGAATCAAGCGAGGAACGGCATTAAATAATGTCAGATTAACATGAACGTGAAATGTTGATACCATAGCAATGTGATGCTCAACCGTCGCATTCGCAATATTCTAGAACGAATTCACGTAAATTTCATGAAAAACAATCTCTAAAGTTTAATAATCGTTGTATAACGCGAATGGAGAAAAATTACTTCACGGAGAAAAATGTAAAGTAATATGCGCTAGAATTCTAGTAAAATGAAATGAGGTCCATATAAGGATAGACACTCACTTGTGTTAAATTTACTTTTCTGATAAATGAGCGAGTCGTATAGTCGAATTATAAAATACTTTTTACATTTCGTAAAGTAAATTTTAGAACTTGTTTATGCTTACAATTTTGAAAATAGAATAATTTATTTTACAGTAAGGTAATAATTATTTGAATAGATTCACTGTAATGAGATTATGATGTATTTTTTGCTTTATATCTCCGATATTTTTACTTTCAATAAGTAGAGTTTGTCATAAGTTCGAAAAAATAATTAGAATATTTTTGTTAGTTTTGTTAGGTAAAAATTAGTCAACTATTTTTCCCTGTGTTCATATTAAGATTGTTGGATGTCTTTAATTTTAATATAAATGACAATAAATATAAGAGAAATATTTGTGTGTGTTTGCTGATAATATAATTATTCTAAAAACAAGTCTTTTATAATATTTTAGCAGCAATCACTTATATTATATTCAAATAGACAAATTGAGTTTGTGTCTTTTAGTTTATAAACAATATTTAGTTTATAAACAATATTTAGAATATATAATTCATTTAATTTTATTGCGATCTTCTAAAGATGCTTTTGATCAAAGCACCTATATGTCCAAACTTCGTAAAAGACGAATTGCTTTCCGTTGTAGTTGCGTCCAAGTACCTCGCGGAATCTATAAAGGAATGTAACAGGAATCGTTCTCATTGGAAACTGCAATATCGTTTCGATACGAAGTTCTCTAGTTAGATTCACGAGTCAATATTGTTTCCATTTTGTTAAGCTTTGAGACGTCGGGAAGAGCTGAGTAAATGAAAAGAGAAGCGAAAGAAAGAGAAATAGATAGATAGATAGATAGATAAATAAATAGAAACAGATAGATAGAGAGAGAGAGAGAGAGAGAGAGAGAGAGAGAGAGAGAGAAAGGAAGGGAGGAAGAAAAAGATAGTACGCTTCAGAATTTACAGGAAGAAGTCGGATCTATGGTATGCGTTCGGAATCTACAAGGCTGCACTCTCGGGGTGTACCTTCGAGCTTTCGAAGAAGTTATCGAACGCTTCGAGAAATCGACGAAAGAAATCAATAAAGGTGGCCTTTGGTCCGCCAATAGTAACTTCGTATCTCGCAGTAAAAGAGAATCGACAGGAATTCTGCGGTTTTCCGTCGAGTGTCTGATCTGTCTGCTCTTTCGAACCCGGAAATTGCCCGGGTAAAACATTTTTGTAGCTTTTAACGTAGTAAACTAACTTTTTTAAACTTCACTGTCGTGAAAGATCAAAGTAGCGCAGCATGTCATGACCACGAAATCCCGAAGAACTTTGTGAGTTATGCTTAGTCTATCGCAAGTGAGAAATTCTGTAGCTAACACAAGCTGCCTCTTAGTTACATTAATAATAATTAATAAATATTAATTTAATATTTCATAACTTAATATACAATATATATTTTTAGAAAAAAATCACGATATAAATAAATGCAAGAATTCTCTTTCAAGAAATTTTTTCTCTATTTTGTAAATCGATATTATATTTAAGATTGAAAGATAATTATGTATGAAAAGAACAATCGATTTTTGCATGCCTAAATAATTCGAGAGAAAACGTATTTCTTCCTCGGGATTAAAAACTTGAGGAACTCTAAGTAACATTTATCGCGTAAGACCTCGCAAGACAGCGCATATTTATCGCTATTTATTTACTTGGCAAATATTATTTACAAGCCCGGCGAGCTTCTGGTCGCAATTAAAGACTTTCAAAGTACATGCTAACGAGCGCGGTCGTTTCCGTCCCTCGTGCGACGCAACAACTTCATGCGTTTAATCGCTCGACATTTAATCACATTCATAATGGGAAAATTTTGAAGTGTACACTCCATACCTTATAGAACGGCTAAACATGCTGGAAACCCGTTTCAATTTTAACTTAAAGTACATTTCGCTGTATGTACCAAACGCATGCAACGGTTGTTTATGAAACAAATTCTCGTTACGATCCTCTTTATCATGATATTAAATATGAAATACTAATCATTTTTTATTGAGGTAAAAAAGCGCTTTGTATTAACGGCGTATCTTATGAACATAACGTTATGCAGAACTATGGAAATTTTCTTAAAATCTCATACAACATCAAAAACATAGAATTTCTCTGGATTATAATTTTTATTAGAAGAGAGTAATTAATTTTTATTAAACAATTTATTACCGCAATTTATTATCTTTTTCTCTCATTTCTGGCGATAATATGGTAGAACGAATACGAGCCAATTTTGCGCTCTATATTACATACGATAGCCTTTTTAGTCGCTGCTTGAATTCGTCCTTTTCGCGTTTCTTCTGGAATTGCTTGGCGACGAGCCATTATCTCATCAAGATACAAGTAGCGAGACAAAGACGATCTTGCTTATAAACGACTTGAAATTAGGATCGAAGGAATGGTAGAACGAAGAAGGGTGAAAGAAGAAGAACGTAGCCGCGAATAATCCCAACAGTCGCACACTCCGCGAGATAATTAATTATCGGCGATTCCGGTTCGCGCTAAGAGAAGCGTGGAATAAGGGTGGCGGCCGTGGACGCGCGCGCGCGAAGGGTGGCCTCCGGATGGCTTGAGTATTGTTTAGACGCTCACTAATTACGGAACAGTCAGCCCAGGAAACTCGATCCGCCAGACGGAAGCGGGGCGGCACTGGAGATACCTTCAATTTATTTTGCTCTTACGCGACCTGGACCCCATTGTCTTAGCTCGTTTATTAACGGTGATGCCACTCCGCGGTCTGTTCGCGAGGGCGGATCTTTAAAAGCGTGTTTTTCACTATGGGGACTTGAAAAGGCATTTGCGCATCCGTTTCTGCAGCTTACGGTTTCAGACAAATGTACAGTTTATAAGCTTCATCTACTTTCGTGAATTTTGATCCCGACATTCTTTTTATTTAAACAATTTTATGTTTCGTATA